GGAGCATGATTAGTTACCCTCTGATGGTCCCAAAAAGGTACACCCCTAGTTACTGCCAATGGTTACACCAAGGCTGGTTGTCCAATTGGCAATGGCACATAGAGAGGCATCATGATTTCTGATCTGAACTTTCACTAACTGTACAATGACAATTTCATATTTTTCATAGGTAGAGAGATCAGCCAATCAGGTTCAAAATTCAGCAGTTTGGGGTCCAGAAGCTGTGAAAGGGCTTTCACCTCTTCTCTTTGCAGTAATGGCGGCAGCCAAGAACTCATGAGCTGCAAAGATTGCTACAGCTTACTGTTGCCCAACAGTGAGTGATTCAGATTTCAGAGAGAGAGCCCCTCATTGACTGCATGCAATATTGCACTCTGCACTGAACTGCACTGCACTGCATTTGCATTTGCAGCATCAAAGGCCATCACATGGTTACAGCTTGGCATTGTCTCCAAAGCTCAGCTCCCCATCCAACAAGCACACCTGCCTCTTAAAAGACTCTCCCTCTCCTTGCATTTCATGTCCTTCTTCCCAGGACCAATTTTATTTTTTTGCATTGGTCCGGTTCTTGTTGTGCCTGCCTGCACCGTACGACTCAGGGATTGTGTACATAATTAACTATATCTTTATATATTTGGACCATTGATGCATCGTCCTCTGCCGTCTGCAACTGTGAACTGAAAATATTGTCTCATCAAGGACTGATCAATATATGCTGAAATCCTGAGCTTGGTAAAAATGATGAGCACTGGTTTTTAAGTGGCGGTTTTTGCAGTCGTAATTGTAACCGTGAACTACTGTCATGATCCATCCTAAAATATAAGGGGTTTTGGCTATGCATTTGTATAGATGATAGGGTGTGTAGGATTCATAGATAAAGATTTTTGCACACAATATGCAGGTTTCATATGTCTGAAAGTATTATGATTGTGGTGAGCTGGAAGCCTGGAAGCACATCGGCATCCGTGACGATGCCCATGAGTGAGGTGACAATAGGGACTCTGAAGAGAATGCGTTTGTATTGTACTATGTACCAGGATGAGATGAACTCGTTGGGCTCCACAAAACCATGGGTGAATTGGACCAGGAGTACCCGGCACTATTTCAAAAATTATCTCATCATTCAATTCAAAGCTACGGTAGAATATAATGACAACAATCTAGTTAAAAAAATGAGCAGTGAACTAAGTTTTGGTTATATATATATATATATATATATATATATATATATATATATATATATATATATATATCTATCTTCATTCTCGATTCTACAAGAATTTATATAGAAGTGTTTCTTTTGCCTCTGTTCTAAGAAAGTTTCATTTTCTCATAATGTATCCACTTAATTCGTTTTATGATGATCGATTCAACATCTGGTAAAAAGACATACCATGGTTCTATTATCAGTGACCTTAATTGATAGATTAATTATTTTCTTTTTTGCCATGCGCTAATTTGGACACTGATGGTGAACTAACTTATATCCATGCATAGTTCACAACCGAGTACGATTTTACATCCAATTTGGATAATTGTTGCCAAAATGTCAGCTGGGAGTAGTTTTGACAGAGCAGCTCTGATCAAAGCTGACCTTTTGCAATAGTGGTAGTTGGCAAGCCATGCATATGTACTGCGAATAATGCAAAGCTATTTTGCACTGCAGCATCATCAGCACATGTACTACTTCCAAGATCAGTGGTCTCTCATGTCCTAATTTGCCTCCTGTCCCTCCTGCCCATGTTGAATTTACATTACTAATCCAATGTACTCAAATACGGTTGTACCTATATCAGGCTGCATTGATAATCACATGTCGTGTCGATCATTAGGGCTCTCGAAGTTACTTGGGATCGATCAGCAATTCGAGATCAGTTCCAGGTTCAGATCCAGCATATACCATTCTGAACCTTTTTTTTTGAACTGAAATACCATTCTGAACTTCATTCTAATATTGTTTATTCTGAACATAACCTTAACAAATGGCCCTGCATTTAGCTAAGAAATGAAATTACATATTGCCTCTGTTTCTATCAACAATGCAGTAACAAAAAAGGAAAGAAAAAATAACTGGGATAAGTACGAATAGTCTACCACTACTCTAAATTAACGCAATATGTCTTTAAGAAGGATCGGACGAATACGTGCCGCTGACATATATTAAAAATTCGGATCCGCCAAATGGTTCGGGGTTTCACCAAAAATCATCATTTTCTTTAGGGCTTATTTCCCCCTTTTTCATTTATGTCAGGTCATCACCAACTGAAATTATTTACCAATATTCAATATTTCAATCCTTGATTGTACTTGTAGAAAATGCCAGGTAAATGAAGCAACGGAATACCGGCTGGTTGTTATAGCAGATCGAAGTCGTCCAGTTTTCCTAGGATCACAACTCATAAGTGTTAATTACCACCGTGGTTGCCGGACCACGATCGACGCAATATGATGAGCTTGCGGCCCTAAATGTCAACAAATACTGCTAACGCATTACGAATTCACAATAAATACACAACCACACCTGGTAACTGCAATCAAGCTATGCGAGTACTTCCCTCCGGTTCCATATTTCCTCTTGCTACAAGTTCCATATTTTATTTATTTTTTTAGAGAATGGTATTTTTTTTACCTGGCCTCTATATTCAACCGGATATGTGCAGCCTTTACAACTCATGTTAAATATCTGATCCGAATTTCGAGCCCACGATATATTCGGATTAGTTTCCTAATAGGACTCTACTTTATAGGATTAGTTTGCTATTAGGACTCCTAAATTTCTCCTATATATATCCCCTGTAAGCCGCACGGGGAGGGTGTGACAGCCCAATGTATCCTCTGCGTTTGTATCTAATTCCTCTATACTGATCATTGCCGGTCGACGCCCGTGGTTTTTTCCCGCATGGGTTTTCCACGTAAAAATTCGTGTCTTCAATGTGCATTTATTTTCATAACAACTCAATCTGAAATTTGCTTCTATACAGATTTGAACATGGGACCTGGAGTGCTACTCAGGTCACTACAATCACTAGGCTACATGCCCTTACGCAAAGTGTTGCGTGGGGTTGATGAAAATTTCTCTCTATGGAGAGATTAGTGAACGTTTTAGGTTGTGTTCAGATTTATCCTTTCTTAACTTCTATTTCCTTATTTTTCACGTGTGCGTTTTTCGAACTGATAAACAATGCATTTTTATAAGAAATTTATATATGAAAGTTGATTTTAAAATCATATTAATCTAATTTTCAAAATTTTTAGCTAATACTTAATTAATTATGTGCTGATCTGCCGCTCGTTTTGCGTGCGTGGAGATTAGTTCACACCCCACGATAATGAATACATCCTTAGTTTACCCCCATTAGTCAATGTTTGTGTGCTTTTCAACGTGAGAGAAACACTATGGGTGTGTTTAGTTCACGCCAAAATTAAAAGTTTGGTTGAAATTGGAACGGTGTGATAGAAAAGTTGGAAGTTTGTGTGTGTAGGAAAGTTTTGATGTGATGGAAAAGTTGGAAGTTTGAAAAAAAAGTTTAAAACTAAACTAGGCCTATGTTCAAAAGTTTTTAATATGGTCAGAATAGAAAATAGACACCCAAATTAATTAATTAATTAGTTAATTACAAGTGATTGGGATTATGTTTAAACCGACAAAAAATATTTAACTAGAGGGAATACTCTTAGAAGGTCCTATCTCCGTTGATTTACAGAGTCTTGAAGAGTAAACTTTGACATTGATTTATCATGAGATCTTTATTCTCATAAAAAGAATATTTTTTGAAACACTTTGAAATATTAATCTATTTATATAATTTTACACATTAAATTTATTTGTATTTTGATTAACTGTTAGCCAAAATCTATAAAGTTTGACGTTGAATCAAAATACACCTTCAGAAATAAATGGAGGGAATAGAAAGCAATGGCATTGAAATGTTGGGTGCATCAATGCCATTGCTAACAATGCTGTTTGCTAGGTATACTATCTGAAATCCAGATTAACAACACAATGTGCCTCAATGAATAAACAGAAGCTTATCTGAAACAAAAGGGACTATCTGAAATCCAGATGTAAAATGCTAAAATAAACATTGTAGCGCAAGCAATCTGCACCTGTTATAACATATGCCATGCTATGCAGAACAAATTATAATGTGATCAGTGTTCACGCAGAATCACATAATCACAGAATTGAATTCAGTAACTTGAACAGGCAACCGCAGAATTGAATTCTGAAAACATTTGACTGTTAATGTTGCTACTTGCTACAGAATATACATGATGAGGACGATATATACTTGCAGTCCTCAAGAATGCATTTGCAGTGCAATGATGTTTGATGCTCATATATATACAACTATGTTAGTAGCACGGCAACCACAAAATGCAGGGTGTAAAAAAAGTCAAGAGTGAGTTTTAAGAGTACAACAGCAAGTGATTCTGTAGCCCATTATTGTCACCTGTCTGCTGCTAAAAAAGGGCACCAAGAAACAGTTCCTACATTTACTGATTGCTAATGAATAATGTTACTGTGTATGCTTTACCAACTTGCTATAGAAATGAGCAGCATATATGCCTCTGATTGCTGCAGAGTAGTAGCAATCAGTTCATGTCAGTGTGCACTGTAGAAACAAATTGTATTGATGATTCATTCTAGTTTTGAAATGTGCAACATTTGAAAATTGTCTCTATTGTTTTTGTTTCCATGTTCAAATATCACCTGTGCCTTTTAGCAACCAATGCAGAGCAGAAGTGGAAATTCATTGAGAGAAGGTAAACTAATTGACCTACCAACTAAACTAGTAGCTTTAGGGTATATAGTATAGTATTATTTGCCTTTAAGATGAGTGGGTTAGCATCAACATCTACTACTCCTACTATTGGTGTAATATAGAAATATACTCCCTAAATTAATGGATATTGTCATACCTTTGTGTAACAAGATAGTAGTAGTATTAGTTGTTCTCAGTTTGCTTTTGGCAAAGTCCAATGCTGACGAAAAGCAATGACCAAGGCAGAGTGACTTGATATATTCATAGTCTGAACATTCCATATGCTAGAATTCATTAGGTAAACAGAGGAGTAAAACTTTGTGACTTCACTACCAAATACCAAATAGGATACTTTCAACTAGTTATCCACAAACATGTCCTACCAAATACAAAATAAAAAAGGTGAATTTTACTAAGGCACAAACCCCTTTTGGACACTTGAGATTGCTCATTTGCTTTGGCACAAAACATTCATTTATGTACAACTGAGTTAGACAGAGCATATCTCAAGTGAACAAAAGCATTAGGCAATCCTATAAATTTTTTTCATCTATGAATGATAGATGATCTCATGTGCAACTTGCACCCAAAAAAACAGAAGAGAAAAAAATCCAAACCAAAACACAAGTACCCTTTGTTGTTTCATATTCCTTGTACACTATGGAACCAAGCAGAAACCTGACCTTGGACTGATGGACTCTACTGCAGTTGCCACTCCATACAATCGTCGAAGTCGAGACTACTAGAGCAATCCAGCAGTGCATTCTGTTGCTGCTCATACCGGCAGATGTAATTTAGCCCGACAAGCAATTCGCATATCACGGCCTCCGTCTTCTCCCTGTCCGCGAAATACAATGTCTGAAGAAGTAGCACATTCCCCTTCAACACAATCTGCTGCTGCTCGAAATTCCTCTCGGCTTGCCACCGGATCATGTTGTGCGCCATCGGAGCAAGCCATGTCAGGGTCTTCTCAAGCGTTTCCCTCCAATCGTGCGCGAGGAACGCATCGTAGATCGCCATGCTCTTCACATATGTTTTCAAGCTCTTCCTCAGTGCTGCTCTCAAGCTTGATGGCAACATCTGGTACAGATCATCCCGAGCCTCCTCACCAACAAGATGTGGGTACCGGAGCAACTTCTCGATGATGATGACAATATTAGCGTAATGCAACGCAAGCGCTGACCCGCCAATCGTGGATGGCGGGGCTAGTGATGTCACAGTACTTTTCGGACCGAATCGCGCCCTTCTGCCAACCTTGCCACTCTTGGTTGCCATTGTCGACACCCCCTGCTCGCCGCTGAATGGCAGAAGCATCCCGGACCTGATTGTGCTAATGCAGCTGGCATCCTCCAAGAATTCATCCTCAAACCCATCCTTCCATGACACCGAGCTACTCAAGCTCAAGCACTCCATGAACATTTTACCTGGGCTTGCCCCGCAATTCGACCGGAAATTCACGGAACGTGGCGTGTCCATGTCGATCCTTGCAATTGGCCCTGATTTGGTGTCGCCGAAATTAGTCCGGACATGGCCCGAATTATTCGCCGAGGCTGGGCCGGAGAGCTGCCGGCTTTGGTCACACTGCCTTGAGCTCCGGCCAATGGCCAGCAAGTCGAGCCCCCGCATTGGGTCGCCGAAGACGAGGCGGATGCGGTCGTAGATGGCGCAGACGGCGCGGGCGAGCAGGAGCACGGCCTTGTCGTAGGTCCAGTTCCAGAGCGACGAGTCCCTGAGGCGGCGCGCGTCGTGGCGGCGCCACCGCGTGCGCTGCTCCAGCGCGCGGCGCGCCTCGTCGGTGGGGAGCTTCCGCGCAGACTGCTCGAGGTCGGCGAGCGCCTCGAGCTCGGCGTAGAGCGCGGCCGTGGCGGCGGCGAGGCGGTCGAGCTTGCGGACGAGCGCGGTGGCCTCGGAGTGCAAGGCGGCGGCGAAGGCGGCGTCGGAGCGGCCGGCGAGGAGGTCGGCGTAGACGTGGTCGAAGCCGAGGAGCGCCGGGAGCGTGCACCGCCTGCCGAGGCGCGCCGCGACGGCCGCGACGCGGATGAGCGCGTCGAGCTTCTCGGCGAGCGCGAGCGCCAGGAGGCGCGCGTCGTCGCCCGGCACTAGCGCGCGCACCGCCTGGGAGCCGAGGCAGAGCGGGCCGAGCAGCCGCCCCGCCTTCGGCGTCCGACAGCGAGCGGTACAGGTTGGCGGCGCGCGACATGGCGTTCGCCACCTCGAACGACAGGATGCCGACCCTCCCGTCATCCACCACCCCCTCCACCGCCGCCGCCGCCGCCGCCGCCGCGCCGCCCTTGCCGCTACTCGTCGTCACCGGCTTCACCTTCCTAGACGACGACGACGACGTCGCCATGGACAGCACCTTGTGCACCAGCGGCTCGGCCACCATGGCTTCCAAATCGAACAAAAGATTCACCCAAAAAGGCTAAACCTTTCACCTTTGCGCGTCAAAGCCAGCAAAAAAGTAGTGAGAAAAAAATCCCTCCGCTTTTGCACCAAATCCAAGCTAACCAAGAAACCAACCACGAAGCTGCCGATTGAATTCAAATCAAATCCCCGTCGATTTGAATTCAAACCCAAATCCTCCGAGATGTCAACCAACACATCGCAGCATCGCCATTACCAAACAAACAAGAGACGAAATGGGAAAAGAAAGCCAGAGGAATTTCCTCGGGTGGTGTTCCAAAGAAAGCAAGAAGCAATGGGTGGAAGACGAAGAAGAAGAAACAATGGGGGAGGAGGGGTTTCGAATCGATTCAGGGGCAAGAAGAAGTTGAAGAGGAGGTGGAGCTATGAGGACGCCATTGATGCGGGGCTTCACTGGCTTCACTGCTCGGCCTCCAACCCTTCGCTGGTGGCCATTAATATCGCCATAAATCGCAGCGGAGCAACGCAACAAAAGCAACAAGCTCACTACTACTAGCTCAGACTCAGAGCCTCGCTGCCAGCGTGGTGCCTTTTTGTTACCCTCTCACCGCCATGTGGGCCCCACTGTAGCTGGTGGGCCCACGTGTCGGTGTGGTGTGCTGTGTTAGGGTAGAGGTGTGGTAGGTGAAAAAATGTGGTGGTGGTGGTAGTAGCAGTTGCGTTTTTGAAAAGTGGAGAGGTGGACTTTGGAGCAAGTAAACTTACTGCAGCACCAGGTAGTACACTCCTACTCTACTCACGAGGGAATCTTTTGCAGATTAGTCCTCAGGGTTTCTTTTTCAAAGTTTTACAAATGGGTCCTCCGGTTATTTTTTTGACGTGGGCCCCACTTCTGGATCGTTTCTATGGCCTGTAGTGTGTATAGTAAATACTAGCGGGCTATAGCGGATATGAGGAGCCGCCACTAGGATATTCTAATTTTGCAGCTAAGCAAAGCTTACCGCTAATAGCTGTGTTTAGCCGGAGATAGCTGCTAAATGGGTTGAAATTAGCGGATGCTAAATTTTTACTGGGCTGAGAAATTCTGCCTGAGGGCTTAGGCCCATCCGTCTCTTGTGCCCCTGTAATGTAACCGTAACTCCCTCTCAATCTCTCCCCTATCTCTCACGCTCTCCTCTCTCTCTCTCTCTCTTTCGTGCACGGCAGTGGCAGCGGCGGTTGTGCGTGACGACAAAGGAGGATGAGCGCGACGGCGGCCACCAATCCCATCCCCAGTCCCTACTCTAGTCCTCCCCTAAGCAACGGCAGCGGCTCTGCCTAGGACTAGCGGCGGCGGCTGCTACTGCTTCTCCTTGACGGTGGCGACCACCATTCCTTCTCCCATTCGGCCATTCCCCATCCCTCCTCTCCCCAAGCAGCACCATTCCTCCTCTAATGGCAGGTAAGATTTTTGTTCTTTGATTCATATTGGGCAAATGCCAAATATTATGTATATATGTCATGTGCTATATTGTTGATGTGTAGAGTTCAATTTTGTGCTACATTGTTAGCTATGACCATGTGACATAAATGTGTCAATTTTTAGCCCAAATTTTGTCAAAATTTTCAATTTTCCCTAGTATTTTCTAAAACCGCTACATTGCTTAGCTGCCGCTATAGCTTCTCTTAGCTGTTGGAGAGCTGAACCGTTAAATGTCTTAGCCCGCTATTTAGAACCTTGGGGTAATAGTAATAGTGTGGGGGTACACTACACGTGTTCGTGGTTGTCTTTATGGGATAGGATGAAATTTTGGGGTTGTAAAGATTGATGTTATTTTAAACCATACCAATTTTGATAAAATTGTCAAATATGTACATCTATTTAGTTTTTACCAAACTTTGGTAAATATATAAGAAATCCTGCCAAAACTTGACAATATTGTCAAATTGCTAAAATTTTGGCAATGTTAAAATTTAGTATGGTTTATTTTAGCTATAATCTGAACAACCCCTTTGTTTCATGGGATGTTGCTTTTTTAAAATCATTAGGAGAATGACACGCCAACTTAACTTATGTAATGTGACAAAAACAAATCTACTAGAATAAGTTAAACATGGCCTAGCTAGCAACATCCTATGGGCTCAGTTGAGATTATCTAAAATAATCCGATGTTCCAGCTTCCATGGCCATTTTTAATAGGATATCATTTTGGCATCGACATAGTCTCTCTAATACACATATTTTATCATTATCTATTAAACTATTAAAAATGTAACTAAGTTTTTCGTGAAAAATCTACTAATATACGTTTCGCATTATAAATCATGGTATATTTTATATATTAATGATTTAGGGTTAATTGGATACACACCATTGCAAATATGACGATTCAGATAAATATCATTACAATTCGTCTATTCGCACCCATATCGTTTAAATTCGCACATAATTTGATCCGTGCCCGCTACCTCATCACCATGAGGCAGGTGCTGGAGAGAGTTTGTACTGGTTTCTCCTCCGCGCATGCCTCGACGTCCTCTAGCAGGAGGGGCCACCAACGACATAGAGAGGAGAAGTCACACCCGGAGGCGCCGCCATGACGGACTGGCAGCGGATCGGAGGCTACCACCTCTCATCCCCCACGTATGGATCTGGCATATGCTTGGTGAATCCGAAGCAGGCCTCCTCCCCGTCGTCACTGCCGCCGTACGTGGAAGATGTATACTCTCCTACTACAACTTAGGCCATGTTTAGTCCCCTAAAAACTTTTCCCAAAAACATCACATCGAATCTTTGGACATATATATGAATCATTAAATATAGATAAAAAGAAAAACTAATTACACAGTTTGCATCTAAATCACGAGACGAATCTTTTCAGCCTAATTAGGCCATGATTAGCCCTAAGTGCTACAATAATCCACATGTGCTAATGACAGCTTAATTAGGCTCAAAAGATTCGTTTCGCGGTTTCAAGGAATTAGTTTTTTCATTCATGTCCAAAAACCCCTTCCGATATCCGATCAAACATCCGATATAACACTCAAAAATTTTCATTTCACCAACTAAACAAAACAAACCCTTGCAGCAACACCAGGTGCTCTCCTACTCTACTGACGATCACGAGGGGATCTTTTGCAGATTGGTCCTCAGGGTTTCTTTTTCCAAGTTTTATAAATGGATCCTCCGTTTATTTTCTACGTGGGCCCCACTGTCTGGATCGTTTCTATTGGCCTCTAGTGTAACAGTGTGGGTGTACACTACACGTGTTCGTGGGTGTTTACGGGACAGGATGGCATTTTTTTCAGTGGATGTTGCTTTTTAAAATCATTAGGAGAATGACACGCCAACTTAACTGCCGTAACGTGACAAAAAAAATCTAATATAATAAGTTAAGCATGCCCTAGCTAGCAACAGCCTAATACTCCGATGTTCCAGCTTCCATTGTCAACATTATTAAAAGGATATTGCTTTGGCATCGGCATTGTCTCTAATACACTTATTTTATTATTATCTATTAAATAATTAAAAATGTAACTAAGTTTTTTCTTTGACAAATGTACTAATATTAGTTTCGCATTTTAAATCAAGGTATATTTTATATGTTAAGATTTTGTGAATTAATTGGTTGTAACCATTTTCAGATACTTCATAGATCGGAGATATTTTTTAAATTATTATTATTATTAAGCACAGGGTTTATTCCATTGAAAATTTACCGATTCTTTTTCACAGATCAACTCAGTCCCCATAGAAATTGGGGGGAAATTCTATGTTGTAAACAAGAGGTTATTCCTTATTCCTTCATCGTAACGTTCTGTTGATTTCAATGTCGCCCCATCACCAACGATTTTTCAATGGATGAAAATAGATTATTTTTTTTACTTATGTGTGTTCTGATTGGTTGGTTGGAAACTATTGGCATTAATTTTGTTCATCCACCTTGTAGAATACAAAAAGAATTAATCTGGAGTAAAGAAGTGAGTTTCTGATTATTAGTTGGTGGAGGAGCTAGCTGTCGATCGGTTGCTTAATTTCCTGTGGTTGGGTAAAACAAGCATTTCTTTTGGTAGCTTTCTTTCTCTGGATGGTTGGAAATGACTAGTTAATGAAACTTAGTAGTTGACCCAAGTATTGATCATCTTAAAAGGTTAACCTTTAATTCCTGCAGTCAAAAGCAAAAGATTTCTCCTAGCAATCTAGCATGAAGAAAGTTGATTAATCCACACGTATATATGTGGAGTACACTGATTAATTACTTAAAGATTACTCCCTGCTGCTTGGGAGAATTGAGGATTAATTAATTGTTTCACAAGCTGCTTTAGATATGATTCATTGATTCATGAATAATCTATGCCTCTTACGAGTGTGTGAAGGATGATCTCCTTGTTTAGAAGTGCGGCTTTGAGACGATGTAAATGTCAAAAGTACCCAAACGACTACCTTGCTGATTAAAGGGTCTGTTTACTGCTGCGTTTTTTATAGACATGTTCATACCATAGGACCGGACCAGACCGGCGGTTCAACCGAAAAAAAACAGGACCAGAGACTACACCGGTCCAGTTCACTTCAAAGACCGTCTATGCAATCGAACCGCTATAAACCGGATGAACCAGCCGGTTTTCTGCGAAACCAGTGAACCGGCCGGTTCTATGTGAACCGGACTGGTCTGACGTTTACAATGCTACCTCTGTTTATTCAGTGCAATGTGTTCCATACGGGGGTATAATTGGAAATGATGAGTTTTTATCTCATTAGGGGTTACGGGACGACAGCCACAGTGCGATTGGAAGTTGGCGGCGGCGACGGGGGTGGGTGGACTGGCGAGCAGGGGCAGGGTAGCAGCGAGCGGCCGGGCTCACATTGGCGAGCAGCACTGCAGTCCGGTGGGAACGCGGCAGGCAAGTAGGCTGGTGGCCGGAGAGCAAGACGGTGGCAAGCGAGCAGCCGAGCCGCAATGGCAGCGAAGGCAGCCGCTCCTCCTCCCATCTTCTTGCAGCAGCGCCCCGGTGTTGCTCTTCCCGTTCTTCTTCGTTAGCTTTGAAAAGGTCAATTAGGCCTAGAGGGGGGTGAATAGGCTAATTTAAAAACTTAAGTAAAGCGGAAGCTGTAATTTTCGGAACTAGGCTGGGAATTTTCGAAACTTCCGAAAATGCACAGAGCAGCGCACACAAAATGAAGTCTCTAGATCTAGAAGTCTACCACATGGAATCAAAGGCACATACAGCAACTAGACCAATAGCGGCACAAGCAAGCAAAGCTAGAGGAGAGGGATGAAGAGATATCATCAAGGTGAAGCTTGCAAACTTGATCCCGGAGTTCAAATCCTTGAGGGGATTCTACTCTTCGTTGAGGAGCTCACTAAGAGCCGGGTCTTAGCTAACCCTTTCCTCAAGAGGTTTGCTTCATCCAAAGAAGTTGAACACAACAACTCCCCGCCGAAACATATTCTGCTTCGGTGGTGGGTAGAGCGACGGATTTTGCTTCTTGGAAGACCAAGAAACAAGGGACCTACCCAAGAATTGGCAAGTACCCGATGTGCTTTTCCTATCCACTTTGCACCCAGCA